TTGAATAGTTTCAGATTATAGACCATGAAATTGAAAGTTCACTAATTGGTATGCTCATGTTGTGTTTAGTAGGAAGATTAAAACAGTCACTGTATCTTTGTGGCTAGAATTTGTTTTCCTCCTTACAAACAGCAAGAATGTTTCTTTTTTTTTTTTTTTCTCCTAGAAACAATGGACCATCTATGATGACTATATTTGTGTATATAAAGTATACATTAAATAAATGCATTGGATAGTGAACAGTTAGTTTCTCCACTATATGGGAAGATGAGCTTTAGGAATAAAATGGGAAAATGCTATGCTTTTTTGCTGTGAATTCTAGAAACTTGAGTTGCGTTTCTGGCTTATTTGTCAATATTTCTCTGGTTGTAAGTGAAGTAGCAGGTAACCTTTAGGGAGACCGGGTTTTTTTCTTTCTTTGCTTTGTCTGAACAGAAATGAAGATTCAAGCAGTTCTCCTGAAAATTAACAGAACTATTCTAGAGAGCATACTTTTAATTCCTGATCAGTACAAATTTTCTTCCCATCTTAGCTATGAGAACAGCAGGCTTCACTTGTACAAACCAGAAGTTGACCTTGCACTGCGTAAGCCTAACATGTAAGAAGTCTAATGAGAATTTTTGAAGTGTTTCTTGTTTTTACTGCAGATTTCACTTTTGATCAAGTGTGCATTTAAGCGCTTAGCTATGTTTATGAAGTTATGTTGTGGTAGATACCTTAAGGAGTGAGTCTCCTGGTCTATTGAGCAGAGATCTTTTACCAGTTAAAGTATGCCTTTGAAAAAGTAAATATCCTACCCTACCTTTTTAATATCAGTGTCTCTCTTCCTAGCTAAATGACATTATTTGGGAGAATTTGGGGGGGGGGGGGGGGGAGGGGGGTCGTCCTTTCTGTGACAGATCAGAATGAGTGCTGTAACACAGTCGTGTTCCAGGCGGCTTTCTCTTACTCTGGCTTATGTCAAATAGAAAAATGGAAAATAGCTATCTTGGGAGACTGCTTTTAGTTTTAATTCTGAGGTAACCTTATCTCAGAGACATCATGTTTCTAGAGGTTTTCTTTTTACATTCTTGGCCAATGAGCTGTTAATCACTGGATAATTCATCTTTACTGAAATTACTGAACTGCCCACAAAAGAAATGTGTTAATGTAATAAGTGATAGTATTCTGGCTATTTACTTAAGTCTGCCTCTTCCCTGAACCAGGTTTCATGAGGAACTAGAAACATTTTCAAGGACGTGTGTACTCTTAAACATTGGCTTATGATAGTAGGCAATTCAAAAGCATGTTTGTTTGTTTATGGACAACAGTACTTTTGTCTTTTGGTTTAGAATTAACTACTGAAATGAAAATTATATTATGTGTCTGCATGGCTTTGTCAGCAGTGCTCAAACACTGTTGGTAATAGTGGTTCCATGTTTTCAAAGTTGATTTATGATTCTCATTGTGATCAAATTGTAAAGTGCTTTTACTTAGGTTATTTTTTGTTTAATTTTTTGTCTTCTGTTCTGATTCTGACCTGAAATTTTGCTTGTATCTCGGTCTGTGTCTTAACTATATTAAGAAGGACACAAAAATGCCTTTCTTGTGTGTGAAGAGGTGGTGCAGCTTCAAGAATGAAATTGGAGTGGAAAGTGTAGACAGGCCTAATGGCAAATCTGTTAATGAGGTGCTTCAGGGTTTTTTGCACAGCAATAGATTGCATTGACATTTTGGCATGATCCTTGGAGTCTACTGTCTACCAGGAAATTTACTTTAACATTAAAAAAGGAGGGGAAAATATACATAGACAACCTCTGTAGGGCAAAGAAAAAAAATAGTTTCCACAGTTTTTCCACATTTTGTGTAATGTTACTGAGTAATTTTTCTCTTTTTTTTTTTTAAACTGGTAAAGGTTCTAGTGTAGACTTAAACTGACAAATGTTCTTTTGCTGATACAGTATTTCTAGTTTTGATAGCTGCTGCCTTAAGCTATTGTACATTTTGCACATGTAAACTACTTGAAATCAGAGTTTTCTGGTCCAAATACACTGGTAAACCTTTTCTTTCATCCTGGAATAAGTTTGTAGTGTATGGATAAGAATAAGAATGAACTTGAGTTGTGCAAAAATCTTATGTGATATTAGGAACTAAGATATGAAATGATAAATGTAAGATGTCAGTCTTTGATCTTTGACTTACAGATGTCAACTCTAAGCGAATTTATTTGTTTTTCTCTGTTTTGCCTTTAATAATTTAAAAAAAAAAATCATTATAGCTCTGTGCATAGTTGGAAAGCCTCTGTGAGTAATGGGTTAGGAACTGTTGATGCAGAACTAGAGTAAGTGCATGATACCAGAAGCATAGTAATTAAATTTCAGAGGACTTTTTCAGATGGCTTGCAACTAATTCTGTGAACATTTATAAATATTTGCTAGGAATTTCTGAAGATTTGGTGTATTACCTATGTTACACCCTTGCTATGTAGCTCAATAAACTGAGGTTAAAAAAAAAGACATAAGACTGCCTTTCCTTCATAATAATATATTTTTGTGCCAATAGTTTTGTTGTTTTTCCCTGTGATTCTTTATTGAAAAAATTGATTAATAACCCAATGTAAACAATGTTTAAACAACTAATTCAGTGGAAATTAGCCTTTATTGCTAAAGCACAGTAGGATAATAAAAACATGCTTAAAAGGCTTTATTATTATGATACATTTCTGTTTAGGAAAAACATAGGACACTGTTTCAATTCATTCTCCATTAGCTGTGTGAAAGTATGATAACATTATCTCTTGCAGGAGAAATTCTCAAAGCTATAAATTTGCAGTTGGCTACTTGTGCGTCGTCTTACATAAATATTAGTAAAATATTTCTTTCATTTGTTAGAAGTTAAATGAGTAATGAAAAAGATTAATTCATCCTATGATCCCAATTCTTTCAGGGAAAGCTTGCATAACAAAACACTCGTCAAAATAGACTGAGATCATGACAAGTTTTGATTTAAAAACAGCATGAAAGAAAAATAAATTTGGTTTGTTCATTGCTTTTTCCTTCTTCAGCCTTACTGAAACTGCTGTGAGATAGTAATTTGCTGTCAACTGGTTTTGTATTAAGCTGTTTCCACTCCTCTAAAGAAAGTATCTTTTATGTCTAGGTCTTATGACCTTTTTTTTAGCTTTCTCGAGGAAAATGTAACTTTCTTAAGCATGATGATTCTTCTAGATGCTAAACATCAATTTAAAAAAAGGGTACTGAGCTGGCACTTTTTCCTCAGAAGTGTTAAAAGTTTTTTATTTCCTTTTTTGGACACTGATGTTTCTTGTTTGTTTCTGAGTACTTCTACTTTGGAAAGGCTAAGTTTAAACGTGAGTGCCACCAAAAATCAAACGGGGCTCATACTGTCTAGTGATTATTGCTAACCAGAAGATTCTGCATTCAAAATGTGGCTGACATTGTGATAAGCGAGCTAGAAAAGTACAGGCATGTCATCAAATTACATTGGCTTTGCAATTTTAGCTAAGGTAAACTTCAACCATATCTCTCATTCTCTCCTGCCTCCCGCTCTCCCCCCGTTTTTCTCTTTTTAAACACTCAAATAGAGATGAAGGTCTGAATATTGACTCAGAAAGGATATACTCAATAATGTAATTCTGTTAGACTAAAAAAGAATTGTTTTATACTGAAATCTTTTGTATTTATCTACTTATCTGGAAACAATATTAACTTAGACTAGTAATGTGCTATTTTGAAAGCAGACTAGTATTAGGGGAGAATGGCAGTGCCTCCATAGAACAAAACTGAGGACAGCTGGTAACTCGGAGTGGACTCACTAGACAGAGATTTTATCTGGAGAACACGCCTCATGTTATATGGAAGCTTTCACAAAATCTTAAAATGTGGATGCTACAGAAACGATTTGTATCATGGCTTGTCTTTTTCAGTAGACTATTTTGCTGTACCTGATACTTTCTTAAATTCAACTATTGAGTCGCTTTTGGCAGCACTCAATAACACTCACGCATGATGAAGTGGTAGAAAGAATATGAATATGCTGCTTGCGTGTTAAGTAGACTGCTTTATCTGCTTCCTTTTTCCAGTTATAGTTACAGAAGGAACACAACCCATCCAGGTTCAGGGAAGTAAGATGGATGTGCCTCCTTACACAATGTTTTGGAGAGAGGTTAAAGAATTTTTGTGGAAGGCTCTGCCCTGTGAAGCCTGAATATGTAGTTAAACTCTCAGCCTCCTCTTTTCTTTTACTCTGCATCTCACTGAGTTGATACCTTTTCTAATGAGGGACTGCAACCACAACATACTTTTCTTTCCTTAGTCATTGCTAACAAACATTCAGTAGTGATGTTGATTACATGCTGCTCCGTTTGCTTCTGGGTTTTTTTATGTTTAGTTGCTAGGTCTGTGGGATTACCATTACTGGCTCTTCATTTTCTTCTTGAGATGTGAGTGAAGGGTGTGGTTAGTGATGATCTTAGGTCAGTCATTCTACATAGACTGGAGTGATGGGGTGCTTTATAACTTGAAAGGAGAGATAAAGAAGCAAATAGATGGAAGGATCAGGGATATGTCTGTGTTGGGAATAGGGCATGGGCTAGGAAGATGTCCTATTAGTAGATGTTGCAGTCCTTACATTGGAGAGATGAGGAAACGTAATGGAAGCTGTCAATGAAGATCTGTTTACAGATATTTGCTTCTTCCTCTTCAATTATTTAATTTCTACTTGAATCATTTTTTCCCCCCCCACAATTTTAAAATCTGTTATCTCAGCTGATCAGATTAGAATGCTTAGTATTCCATATACTTGTATTTTTAGGAAATAAAACATCTAAATTTTGTAAAAACAAACTCAAAATTCGGCACTGTGAACTATCCACAGCATGTAAAATTTGGCTTTTAAAATAGATGCTTCACTTAACTTTTTGCAGGATGCAGGAGGGATGTGAGCCTGTTAAGGCTATAGAGAATAGCTTAAGTTTCACATGTTCTTATTTCTTTGCTTAGGTTGGTTGAAGACTTTTGATGACTACTTCAGAGATCAGACACAACATATCTTAAATAACATGGTTATAAAACTGCAGGAAGACAACCGAAGAAAATTTATGTGGTCTGAGATTTCTTACTTTTCAAAATGGTGGGATGGAATAGATAACCAAAAAAAGGATGCTGTTAAAAGGTTTGAACATCTGTGCTATTTGTGTTGTGCTCCTTGCAGAATGTTCTGAATCGTAATATGTGTTTGACTACACTATCAAATCATTGATTTCATTTGTTGCAATGTGGTATTATGAGAATAATCACACAAAGTTCTAGTTTGGGGTGTTTGTGATTTTTATTTTTTATTATAAAAAAGCACAACTCTGTTTAGAGAAATGGAGCCAAGTTACTGAATTGCTGGAAAAAAAAGACTGAAAGTATCCATTCCCAGTCATTAAGATGGTATTCAAATTGTGAGAGTGATTATAAACTCAACTCCCGTATTTGAAGTGGCATAAAAGTTTTGGTTGAAGGTAATCCTCCATACTAGCTATTTATTTAAGGTAATTTTTTCCTCCATTATGATAGTTATGAAATGAGATGTTTTGCATCTTAAACTGTCTGTTTTTAATAAACATGCAGCTATGTAAATGTTAAACAAGTGCATACTCTATATGCTTTTTCTCAGTGTTTTTTTTTTTTTTTTAAATGACAGGTCTAAAGTAATAGAAAAGTAAGGGATTTAACTAGACATTGAGACAAGAAAGCATGCTGCTTGGATAACCTAAGTCAGGATCTAGTTTTGAAATACTGCCCTCACTATTACAAAAGTTGTTATTTATATATGCTATAATTATGTTTAGTATATATACATCATATATTAAACTAAGATGCCTCAAGACAGGATCAAACAGTTGGATCAGGGGCATCCCTTTAAGATACACTGGGTACAGCTAAAGCTGCAACATGCTTTAAAGCTGAGAGAGCCTCAAAGCTGCAAAACTTTGATATCCCTGGAAATCTTGGGAGTGACATAGAAAACTGTCTGTTTAAAGAGTTGTGTACAACGTGTAAACATTAGAGCACATTGTGGGATTTCAAGATGATAAAATCTCTTGGGACACAAAAAGCAGGTGAATAACGTTCACTAGGGACCTGTGTACTTTCTTGCTTCAGGGAAATTTGGTATTGGTTAAAGTGCTGTTTAGTTATCGAGTTACAGAAGCATGGACAGGAGGTTATTTTGATGTATGTTTTTCATTAGTTCTATGGGCATTACTTATGAGTAAGTGCTGGTATGCTTACTGTATCTCTTTCTTAAACTCATTAACCAGATACGCAGTAGCATAAAGATACAAATGCTGACATTACCTTATTTAATTGTAGGGACTATCTTGTACTGGAAGCGTGATTACTAGGTCCATGGAGATCTTAATAGGGAGACTGGATCATTCTGTGATCTGTTTCAATGAGTTGGTTTAAAGTCATTACAGATATAATAAACTTTGCTCCATCAGCTTTCTAAAACAGTAAAAAGAATGGTAGGTCAAGGATAGGAAATAGTAGTGCTTGAACTATGGAATGTCTGGGCATCTCACTCGACTGGCCTTCAGTACTGTGGCACATACATTGTTTTACTTTCATAGTCTTTGCAGGAAACAGCCCTCTTCCTGAATAAAGAAAAAAATTAAATATTCTATGACACATGCGGAAGAGCGGATAGTTTTGCACAGAAATATTAAGAATTTCATTTTCTCTGTTCAGTTAAAAAAAGTCATCCGATATTGAAACTGACATAATTTAGATTTTGGCATTGTTTCCGCAATAAATCTCTCGTGTATTCAGAAGTTGATTTTAACATTATATTTTCGCAGCAAGTTTCTGAACACAATTTACATACTTCTCTTTCAGGTTAATAAAAGATGGGCAATTTGAAATAGTAACAGGAGGATGGGTTATGCCTGATGAAGCCTCTGCTCACTACTTTGCTTTAATTGACCAACTGATAGAAGGACATCAGTGGCTAGAAAGGAACCTGGGTATGTAGCCTGATTTAAAATTTCGCTGTGTTAATACAGGAAGTCAATTAGTAATTCCTTTTTTTTTCTCTCTCAGGTGATTAGAAGGTTTTACTTACTCTGCTTTCCTGAAACATTAAATCAGACCATTTACTGAAAACTGCAGGGTTGAGTCTAGTATTTGCAATTACTATTTACAAATAAAGGTTCTTGGAAGAAGAGTATTTAAACTTTTTTCTGTTCTAATGCTTTGGTTAATGAAAGTTGTGTGTAATATATGAACATACAAAATACAAGACTAAATCATGCTAAACTGTAGTTCACATGCCTGTGGTATCACACACTGTTTCCAAGATAACTATTTCTATCTTTTGGAAATCGTGAATAGCGCCTTAAAATCATTTGGCTTAAATTGATATGCCTTCCATATATTTGAATTTATTCTGAAAGCTGGATATTAATTAGGTTCTTTTTAGGTAAGCTTTTCAAAAAGTAAATATGAAACTTAGTAGTAAAAGTAGTAGTAGTAAAGACCTAATTCCCCTGTAATCTGTTAAAATCATTTACATTTAAAAAAAAAGTCATATTTGCTTTTTAAACTTTAAAGAAAATCAAACAACTGGAGGATTGTTGGAATTACTAAGTACGTGCAATAAGGCCAACTGAATTATTTTGGTGGCTTTGGGAGATTTTTCTGGTTTAGTTCCATAATTAGAGATAATGTTTTATTTTTAATTAACCCTTTTTTGTATGCAAAGCATTTGTGCAGAGATTTTTAATAACAACATCACTTCATTTAATTGAAATTATTTTGAAAAGCTGTTTCCCTATGTTTTTCTTGGATTGCAATTCCCATAAATATTGCTTGACATAAATATGATTTAGAAAAAAAATCCAGTAAAAGGTTAATACACTGCCTACCCTTTTTTGAAGGCGAGGGGAAGAGACACAGTAAAATGGAGATACATATTGAATTGGTTAAATAAAAGTTAGATATAGCTTTCTGATTTGGTGATATGAAATTCACTGGCAAGACAATAGTAATCAACTAGATTGTAATGATTGCCAGCCAAGTAAATCAATTAGCTTTTGAAAGAAAAGTTAATCCCAATGCCAGCAAAGGTTAAAATTATTTAAATTACAGTGAAAATTCACTGATTTATAACATCTATCCATCTGCATCTGTTCATTTTCGTTCAGCTTTCCTTTCTAATTATAGCATATATAAATTTTAAAATGAAAGAGGAGATGTATTTCATTATGATTCCATATAAGGTAAAATATTGGAGACAAAAGTTGAAACGGCGTAACAATGTAGAGTACTGATCTCCAATTTCTTTACTTAGTTAGCCAGGTTGCCCTGCACCCTGAGTCATTTGATTTTACGGAGGTATTTATCTATTTAATTGTAGAATGTTAATTCCAAAGGATGTTCTTAGGGAGACTTAATCACCTGTATTTTTCATTTACCTTCTTGGAAATTTCATTGTTAGAGATCTGATTTAAATTATATTGATATTGTTTGATTTCCTCAGTGAAAAGTAAAACTTTTTTTCTTCCCCTTCTACTCTTCCTTTTGTCAACAGGAGTAAAACCAAAGTCTGGTTGGGCTGTTGATCCCTTTGGGCATTCACCGACAATGGCCTACCTTCTGAAACGCACGGGATTTTCCAACATGCTTATACAGAGAGTTCACTACTCAATTAAAAAACACTTTGCAACACAGAAGACACTAGAATTTTTTTGGAGACAGAACTGGGGTATGTGTTTTTCCTTTGTCTCAATTTATTTTATTTGTTGCTTTATTATTGGTTTAAAAAAAAAATCAAGAGAGCTTGGATAAATACTATGAAAATTTCCACAGAAGCAGGTTATTTGGAGAAGTTAGTCAGGTCTTCAAAATTTTGAACTTGTGGTTTTGTTGCTTTAAAAGAAAGCCTTTCATTTTGTTTAAAAATTTCTGGGATTTTTTTTTTATGACAGAAAGTGAGTACATGTGTTGGGGAAGGGGTTAAATATAGAAGGTGTAGCTCCGTCATTGTTCTTCTGATCTTCCTTTTACTTCATTTTCAGTTCTGTTTATACTTTTTCTCATTTCTCTTCTCTAACCCTCCTTAGAAAATATTTATATGGGAAAGGGAAAAGCAGATGCTATGGACTTTAGTTCACTTTCCTATTTCCCGTTTTAAAACTTTCAACACAAGATTCACCTTCCTTTCACACACACATTTACAAGAGTTAAACAGGATGGAATGTTCTTTTTTCCTTTTCTCACATCTGCTTTCCTTTTCCTACTCCATCACCTGCTGATTATATTTCGTGAGGAGAGGTGAGGAAATAAAGTGGAGGTAGAAAGGAACATTTTTCTTAAATGACAGCAAAACTGTGGGTATTGGTTGAAGGTAGAACGGTCATGTTTCCGCTCTTACTACGGGAAAAGCTTTCAAGCAACCATTGGGTAAAAAAGTGTGACGCCCTCCAAGATTGTATGATCAAAGATCACAGCACTTTCATCTGGCATGATATGCAAAGCTGATTCCAGGGAAATAAAGAGTTCCCACAGTTGAAAGGTCCATGTAATCATGAATTATTAACTGTTAAGTAATAAAATAAGTTTATTAACAAAAGGTGTGGAGCGGTGCTGTGAGGACTCCTGTTTTTGCAGCTTTTGAAGAGCGTTCTCATATGTATCATTGGCATACTTTTCTTGGGAGTCAGGTGCTGTGGCACACCTATAGCACTCATCCCTTATTTCCATATAAAAATGTTTAGAGTACTTAGTGCTGGAAATAGGTAATCGATTTTCAGAGTGTGTTAGCAGATGAGTAAAATTAAGGTTCTCTTTTAAAATGAAGATTTGAAAGACCTTCTTTTGCAAGACTTTGACAAAAATATGTATAGATCTATTTGAACTAGAAATTCAGCTCTAACTCCTGGTGGGATGAGGCACATACTTTAGGAAATGGGCTGACTAAGTGGAAAAGTTAGTATTACAAAATTGGGATGAAAATGTTCTGACACGCAAGTGCATAAAATCTTTTTGTTACACTATTGAAGATATTTATAGTCATGAAATTAAGATACTATTTAAACCATTTCCAATGTTGTACTAATGAAGTAATGACAGCATTTTTTTTATTCTTCTGAAAACCTAAAACATGTTTTTATTCGTCTCTAAAATTCTAGAAATGTGGTTTATCTGGGTAAAAAAACCCTAACATTTTGTTCATGTCTCTTCAAATCAGGCAGTGCTTAATAAGGACATCTCAATCTGTTGTTAGGTCTATTTTTAGCCTGTTTTATATAAGGCAGATAAGGAGAAAAGTTTATCCCATCTACATAGACTCCAAGTATGGATGTTCAGAGCATGAATTGTTTTGGTCTGGTGATTTTTAATAACATTTTTGAGTTAAGATCATGAAACTGATTTAGCTTTAGCAAACCTGAGAGGGTTTATTTTAAAGGTGAGCTTTATGTATTTAATTTCAGATTTGGGATCCAGTACAGATATCCTTTGTCATATGATGCCTTTCTATAGCTATGATGTTCCTCATACTTGTGGTCCAGATCCAAAAATCTGTTGCCAATTTGATTTTAAACGTCTTCCTGGAGGAAGAGTAAGTTGCCCGTGGAGAGTTCCCCCAGAGGCCATTCATGCTGGGAATGTTCAACACAGGTACAGTTTCTCTATATTGTGGAAGTGAGTAGCTGAAAAAAATATTTTTATGCTGGTCAAAGAGGCTGCCTAGCATAGCTTGGTGAGTTTATATAGTTCTTGAAACAAACTGGCCACAGGAAAATAATACCTATAACTTACCTGCTGTTTGCACTTAAGTTCAGAACATAATTGACAATGAAATTCATAAATAGGTTATGACTAAGGAAGATGCATTTAATTTTTTCTCTTCCATTCATGATGCATGAGTCTAACTCTCACATAGCCTGAGTGAATGCCACACTGAATATAGTCATTAATTTGGCTACAGTCTTGTCAAATGTCTTTTGCTTTCTTACACAATTGAACCTTGCTGAGCATTTGCTGCAGAATATCCACTAAATTTTTTACTTTTGTTATTTTTTATTTTTTTAATAGCAGAAGTAGGGGGGGAAAAAGAATATTCTGAAAAAATCTATTGTGGAATAGAGCCTCAACGGATCCGGCTGTTTCAAATGCTTTACCTTTTTTCTATTTTTTATCTCCTCTGATTTTGCTTGCTTACCCAACTCAACAATCCAAACAATTCCCCCCCCCTTTTTTTCCCCCCCCTCTGAGGCACTTCTTAGTATGAATATATTTCATTTTAAAAGTTGTCTTGAAGGAATTTTGTAATGGTAATACAGCAACCTTAAAAGGATATAAAATTAATAAATTTGCGCACTAATTTTTCTGACTAATTTTTTTCTCTCTTCACTTCAAGGCAGTACTGTTAGTATCATTAAGCATCTAACTGCTCTATCATTAAGCATCTAACTGCTCTAAAGTGCAAGTATAATATGAGTTGAAGTATGTGAGTGGCTTTCAGGCACAGGTGGCTTATTTTACAGCTACAGCATTAGAATAATTTGAGGTTCTTGCAGTTATATTCTAGAAATTCTTTGAAACTTTCTGAAGTACATACACAAAGCAGGAGAAACAACATGCATGGAGTTAGTAACCTGCATCTTTAGCAGATGCCTTTATTCTACTTTGTGTTCATAACTTCAGCATAACTTTGATATGACTTGGGTCCACAATTCAAGTGCTTTTTATAATATTTAAATTTATAACATAGTAAATATAACACATTTATTCAGTCACTTAGTTTAGAGACTTTTCTTTAAGGGAAATGGGCTGTAAGTCTCCAGTTTCAAACTTTTTTCTCTCTGTCCTCAGTAATAGGTAAAAGCAGTGTACAATTAAAAAAAAATTCCCTAATTTCTGTCTCTGAGATTACATAACATTATAACTGAGACTGGTACTATACTGTCCATAACTCTGTGTTTGGTTTTGACTAATCCACTGAAAAAGGGCTTCAAATAAGTGCAAAATCCAATTGTTACGTATGTAGCTAGCAGGTTACTGTGATTTTTTGTGACTTTTATGAATAGCCAGTCTCCTGTCAATGGTCAGTTGAAGATTTTAGGGACAGCATAGTGTTGTTATACTTTAAGCATGCACTAATTGCAGTATAGTGAGATACTTCCCACAGTATATCCTCACAGCTTCTGATTATCTGTAGCTTAGCTTCCTGAAGTAGACACTTTAACTGAATCTGTGTCCTATGTCTTCAGATTCACTTTTCTTCAATTTTTCAGATAGAAATGCCGAGTTGTTATGCCACTGGTAAGATTCAAGTTTTACACTTTTATAAAACTACCATGTAGTTCTGAAAATAATTTTCTTGAAAGATTGAGCTGTTAAAGTATTCTTTTTGTTTTGTTTATTTTTCCCCAGAAGGATTTTCATTCTAATGCCCTGCTTACTATCTTCATGCCTTGTAAAACTTAAACCATCCAGGAATTCAAGAATTGGGGATTTAGGTAGATGTTTGCAATTAGTGCAAATAGCTGAGCATAACAAATATATTAAGGATAGCAAGGGTGACTTTATTTTCTAGCCTTGATGCTGAGATTTTAAAGAGAGCAACTGTTATCAGAAATGTGATCTGATGCATTATCAAGTGCACGTGATGCACATATCAAGTCTTCATGCCCTTTTTCTGAGTGGACTAATGCAAATTTTGCGAAGCATTTTGAAATTTTCCTTTTGTCAGTTAAATTCAATTACAAAACTTTTTTCAAGATAAAAGCAGAATGCATCACAATTGTCGTGTTTTAAGTTGAACTTGGAATACTGATAGGAAAAATTGTCATTTTCTTTAAAAAAAAAAAAAAAAAAATTGCAGACAGAAGGTGACAGCCGCAGTAGAGCTAGTAGAATCATTTTGGCACACCCTGGTCCTTATCAACTGTGAAGGAAAGCTTGTGTTCCTTTAGGTCAGAGTTGTGAAAACAAAACAAAAAAAGCCCCTTGAATTTGCATCATGATTATTTGAGGCAAATAAATAGAAGAACAACAGTTCCAGTTTTACTGGAACAAGTATGCTGTAAGGAATATGTAGAGAGCCTGTTAGGAATGCTTTTTAAGATTTTTTTATTTTTAATCAAGTCTTAATTTATCCCTGCACTTCCAAGATGCAACTTTTGCATAACAATCTAAATTAGACTTTGTAAAAGAAATGAAAAAAGTAGTAAATGGCTCTTTTATCCTGTGAAATAAAACCAAGAAAAGGAAACAGAGCAAGTGAAGATGTTGTCAAGTTTAAGGATGATATAAGTATGTTTCCCAACGCTGAATCAATCCTTTGCATCCATTTTCGGTAGATAGTGTCCAACAGGGAATGAAACAGCGAGATGGTAGATAATACCTAGGGAGAAAGTAAAACTAAACGCATTGTCTTTTGAGTCGGTGGACTGGATTATTTACAATCAGAACACTGAAAAGAACATGCAAATTTCCTCTTCGATAGTGTCGTTTCAAATAAATACATTTTGTAGGAAACGGAAATACAAAATGTAGGAAACGTGTTCTTTTGCTACAAAATAATACAAAAATACCACCAAAAAAATTACTTGTATTTGAAGAAAAAGTGGGAATATTATATGCAACCAAAAACTTTTCTGAGCTGACCTCTGTAACGAAACAACTTTTACAACTCTTGTGGGGAAGAGTTGTGAGTGACACAGCAGTAATTGGGAGATGTATTGTTATATCACAAGTTTAGCAAGGTAAAGGTTTGTCTCTGATCTCCGGTTGCCTTGTTTTTTACAACCGGAAAAATAGATATCTGTACTGTGTGGATCTGAATAAAGTATTTGATACACGTTTCATCAGTTCAGCGTCAAGGTTTAAACCACTGACTTTTCTTTAATGCTGAAGTTACACTGAAATAAAAAACATAGATCTTGACTATTCAGCTGGGATTGTAGTTTTTGATTTTAGTACTGTTATGGCCATAGCAATGTAAGGAAGAATGATTAAGCTGAAAAGTCGAGACTAATAGCTGTTGGGTTTATAATTGCCCTGCAATTTTAATTGTGATTTGATAGGCATGAATGCGACAGCAGCCTTATTAAAAGCCTGTACCTGTTTAATTATGAATGTAGTTCCATTCCATAACAGTTTAGGTTATAGATTGTTATTGCATATGCCCAGTCCTGCAGCTGCATCCTTATCGCATCCTTATGTTTGAATGCTGAAGTTCTGGCTTTTCAGAAAAAGACTCTTAATACCTGAATTACAAGATCAGTCACGCTAGCAAGGAAGAACATCTGTGTTTTTTTCTTTAATGATAATGAGTGGTGTTTTTAATAGAAGCATAACTTATTTTGGTGTATATTGTCCTTCCCATGCATAAAAATAAGAGGAAGATTCTGTACTGCAGGATAAACACTGTAGAGTAGAGAATGCCCCCCTGCCCACACACAACTAGTTTTGCAAGCACCCAATTTGACCCTGCTTTCTTTCCATCCCTTGTTTTATTCTCAGCTTTCAGCTTTTTTTCCTATGTGTTTTGTTATATTGCACAACATGCAACTGGCATGCAGGATTGCATTGCTGATGTGGTGCGGGTGATTCTAGTTTGCAGTTGGTCTTGAACTCTTGAGTCTGGTACCCTGTTATGAAGTACTCATCCTGTGTGCTTAGCCGCATCCTCCACAAAATTACCTGAGTAGCAAATTGCAAACCAACCAACCAATTTTCTTTTCTAATTGAGATTATGAAGCAAGGAGCTAGCTTTTAGTGCTTCATGTGCTGTGCAGTCGAGACTGTGAAGCCATGACCACTGTCAGACCTGTCACATAAGACTTGCTACAGGCTGCTGCAGCGTTCCTTGCGATTCCTACGGACTCTGGGTGACAACTATTCCTCCTTCTTTTACGATGCAGGGAGTGAACCTAGCCCCATATTAAGTGATGTGTTCTAGGCAAATTTTTGACTTACAAAGAGAAACTTGCGATGTGAAAACATTTTTCCTCATCTGTCAAAGGTCTTTAGCGTTCTTTGGTAACCTGAAAGCTTCCCAAAGAAAGGTTAAAAAGAAAAAAAAAATTCAAGTAAAGTTGTTACTGACTTGACATGTATTAGTAGTGTCTTGATATAAGTTCATGTAATTAGGATTACTCTGAGTATTGAGAGCTATGTAGTGTATTTTGTATACAATTCTGAGAACTTTTGAATGTATAAAAACAAAATGTTTATATAAAAAGCCATTAAAAATGTAAGTGCTGCTGGTAATGTGTGTCGGTAATTATAGGACTAGAAAAAATTTCAATTCACGAATTGAAATCACAAATCATTTTAGTTTTCCAGTTTTTATTTAGGTAGGTGGGATAAATATAAAAACACACCTACTACTGTGTTTACTGGGGAGCCAGAAGAGGAAAGCATTGTGGAATCTCAGGCTTTTTCTGCACAAGTATTTGTCATCTCCAGCAAATCCTGTCTGAGGGTTTCTGCTGACACTTTTTCCCCTTCTCTCTGAAATAGTGATTTTAAAAGTTCTTTGAGAGCAACTTAAATCTTTTCCAGTAACAGGGTTTTTTTGCAGAGGATGTACATGATTTTGAGACATCTCACTTTCTTTGGTGTTTTGCCATTGAAAATGGTTTGCAATGGAATAAGATTCTGCCACCTCATTAAAAGCACCTGAGAATCCTATAGCAGAAGGTGATTTGGGGACAGGGAGAACAGCAGCATTGAGTTTTGCAGTAGATTTGGAAAGAAACTGGGGAAGGCTTTGAGGAGAGATGCAGTAGTCAAATATTAGCACTAACCTTTCCTGTAGTCCTATATTTCTCAAGAGGCTCTAAAATACAATATTTTTCTAACCGTAGACTGCATATGGGAAATTTGAGTTAGAGTGGCTTTTTAGAAGGGAGAATTACCAAGTCTTCTATTGTGCCAATTGTAGTAGTTTTATGGAGAGGAAGACTTTATGTTAAAGTCAGGATGCTGTTGAAGGTCATGGGAAAAATTGATTCAAGCGTATGTTTTTAGTAATCTGAACTATAAATTCAGCTATAGACAAGGGTGAGGAGGGGGAAAAGCTGCTAGATGGGTCTATATGCTAGTCTCAGCAGAACCAGGTAGATCCTTAACTAAAGGTCCTGTGCCACCTCTTCTCCCTGTCCCAATAGAGTCAGACCTTGTGTTTACTCAAAACTGTTTCAACTGGTTAAAAAGCAAACACCCTGACTCCTTGATTAGATATGAAATCCATATTTCTTTAATAAACTTGTTTAAATTCTCACAGAAATTTTCATGTAAATATTAAAAATCTTCAAGAGTATGATGTAAAAGTAGATGGTGGCCTTAAGCCACATTTGTAGAAACAAAAAGCTCACTGGAATCTGGAATTTGCAGCTGTATTCCCTTTAAAATTTTATTCTCATTTACAAATATATTACTGCAGTTTATATTTCCTACTACAATTATTTTCATAACTTTAATTAGAGAAGATCACCACCTGAAGACTTCTGTAATGGTTGAGGGCTTTTGGGGAGGGAGGTAAAGGGAGAAACAGGCATTTTCACTAATCCAGACATCAAACTTGTAAGTTTAGTTATATTGCTACTTAATGAGAGGAATGATATTTTACGTGCCAAAGAGTGAGGAGGTACTGAAGGACAACTTTACTGCCTTTTCTATACAAAAGAAATGTGATGGGTTTAATTTATCAGGATGTGAGTAAAGGATTTAATATTACTGTATGGGAAATCATTAGTAAAGCTTAAGAAAGCTAGTTGTAAGACAGGAAGAAGCTAACTGAAGAGGGAACAATGATTATCAGCACTGCAAAAACATTTCTGGTGAAGGTGACTACTGAAGTTGCTCAAAGATTAATTTATGGGCATTTTTTATATCAAGGACATGAAGCTATAAAGCTGAGTGTCCGAGGGAATTACCAGAAGGGATGAGAAGAGCTTGCTTATTTGTTATTGTAAATAAAGACTGGAGGGGATTAGGATTGTTATCTAAATATAAAGCAGGTAAACATAATTTAAACTGAAGGTTAGTTTTGGCACAGGAACAAATTGATGCAGACTGACCTACTGTTAAAGATGGATCTTGATAAGTTTATGGGAGGGTTTAATTGACATAGTGTCTGCAACAGTGGTAGGCTGGATGTGAAGTCCCAGTGCAGGGAATTGCACCAGATTTTTATTACGAAAAGGAATAGAAAAATGTTGTGTGTCTTGTTTAAAGTCAACCCTTTGCACAGTTTGGTATCTAAAAATTGTTTTGTCAAGTACTGACCTTTATTCTTCTGTTTTCTAAATTGTATTAATTTTTTTTTCCAAGGGCTTGGATGATTTTAGATCAATACAGAAAGAAGTCAAAGCTTTTCCGTACTAAAGTTCTGTTGGCTCCACTAGGGGATGATTTCCGCTATGCTGAGAGCTCAGAATGGGATCAGCAGTACCAGAATTATCAGAAGCTGTTTGATTATATGAACTCTCATCCTGAGTTGCATGTTAAGGTAAATACAACATTTTTTCTAGTTTGTGGAGAAAACAATTTTTCTAGGTATTCTGAGATTACATAGAAAAAAAATTAGATTTTGGCAGACATGGTGCTTTACTCTACAAATTATTTTACAGCAGGCTAGGCTGATCCTTTCCTTCCAAAACAAAATAAAAACTTTTTTCTGAGTACTCTTGTTTTCACAGGCTTCTGGTTCTTATTTTCTCCCTTTTGGAATGCACGCATTTTGCTTCTAGCTACTACACGGTAAAATTCTTTGCACTTACAGTCATCGTCCCTTTATTTTGAGGCATTTTTAAAGAAGTTATGCTAGAACAAGACATCTCAGATACAGTCAGCTTACTTTTTTAACTTTTTCTGATGCTAATTGGAATTATTTGTCATTTCTCACATAATTCAAGGAGTGTAGTTTGTCACTTAAAAGTGATTATATGTATTTCCTTATTAGAAATTCAAAAATTTTATTACTTTCCTTGGATCTTTTCTGTTTTATTTATTTCAAAAGGAACACAACAAAACCAAAAAACCGTTGCTGGCACGGGTTGTCAAAGAAGATAAAATCTAAGAAAGTGACCTGGCTACAAAAGGAGTGAATATATTAACGCAATTCTCAGAGGAGATAACATGTTAAACTAGAAATCGTGTTTTAGTGTTAATAGGCACTTTCATACATTCTAATGCATCAGTTGAGAACTTCAGAGACTTCTTGTGCAATAGATGGTATTTGTGCTCAGACACATTTTCATCATCTTTCAGTATGAGAATAAGAGAGAGTGGGCCACAACTTTGTTTTTTCTCGATTATCAGGTGAGAGGGAGCACTACTGGGGATTTCATTTTCTGGCTTTTTGTGTGTAGTCTGCTTTTTTCATGTTTTTTTCGGTTTTTGTGCAGAGCTTTTTTTCCCCCACTTTCTCTGAGGCTTCTTCCCTGTTCCTTGGCCTGAAGATCTAGTTAGCACCTGTAGCTCACTAGTTCTTCCTGGTGCCTCCTGGACTTTTGTTCTACATAAGAAAGATCTCTTGAGATCATTTTCAGCATGAGATAGATTTTACCTTTAGTTCACTTTTAAAGAATTCATATGTCTGTTCGTTGTGGCAACCTGTGCTTGCACAGTTGAGCAGCAGGGCTCACTTCAGACCTTCAGATGTTATGCTCTGCCTAATTTCCCTGTCTGTGTCCTTTCACTAACAGGGAGACTGATCTAGATGGTGTCTCCATCTCGCAGCAGAACAGGAAGTCTATTTTACCACCACCATGATGTTCTAACCTTATTTGTTCCAAATCCAGAGCAGTAGTAACAGATGTTTCCTCCTTTTGGTGGGGTGCTCCAGGACTTCAAATTTCATGGTCAGGGAAGGAGAGGGCCTTTTTACATCAGCTCAGCTCAAAGATCAGTTATCAAGAATGACATCAGGATTTTCATTCTCAACCAGCAGAGGTGGTACATATCTTTTTTTTCTTTCATCAAGAACTGTCAGATTTGGAAGTGACATACTGGATGGTCAGTAAATTCACTTGGACTGCTGAACATCTTGGTGACCAGTTCTAGCTGTTTCAGAATGTCAGAGCATGATTGGAAATCCATTGTCCTGCCTGCCATTTTAAAAACTGAATGGATATTCTAAGATAGTTCATTCTGCTGCTGATACCTAAAAGGAAATGCCAGGCATTTTTCATTAAACGTAAAGATATTGTGTTCTTTAACAGAACTTTTTTGCAATAGCTTTATCTGGTTTGCGTGATAGTGATGCATCTAAAAAAAAAAAAAAAAAAAGTATAAATGTATGTGAACAACCTTGAATTCCAACTTACCAGTACCTAAGTTCATTTTTTAGTAATCCATTGAATGCTTTTTTCTGTAGATCAGTACAGAACAATCTCTGAACTCTGAATCTTGTAAATCGTTAACTACTACCTATGGTATGTAGTGATGTGCATTGTACTCAATTGACTTGATTTATTCTTGTTCTTGTAAAGGCTGGAGTTTATATCCCCTTGAACAATAGAACTCCTGTTGCCTTGAAACTGTTCAGCATCAATTTGAGTTGAGAGCTAACAGTGAATTTCAAATTAGTGCAACTTTATAATGATATTGCCATTCTTAAAAGTTTTAATTTATTTTACATATATGTATATATATGTGCATATATTTTATGTATATTTCATATATATTGTGTATATAAAAAACATAAATGACATACTAAAAGGGAAAAAAAATTTAGGAATGAAAATCACAAGGATTTAATTGGTAAGTGTACTATACCCTTAAACTGTATCTTTAATTTTGATCTGAGTTTACTGAAGGACATCACAAGATATTTAAAACTTTAAATATTGAAGATATTAAAGATAACATTAAAATTCTCTCATTTTGTGAACACTCATTTAAAAAAAATCTTTTTCTGATGTTTTAAATTATAGAATACTACTTTGCATGATTAGTATTAATACTAGTTTTGTAATGATTCTTCAAACTTAAATTCATAGTTTATTACAGGGGTTATTTGTGTTAATATGGTCTTCTGTGCTATCTCCAGTTCCATTAATTATTTTCCCATCTCATTCAACGTTTCTCAGTGCTGATGACATTGACACCATCTCTGCCTTCCATTCTTTTTTTTTTTTAGCTTTTGTATCTCTGAAAGTTGGGAGTACCATATTTTGACTTACCCTGTAAAAAAGTTATTCCTGCATTTTTTTCTGAATATTTTTTGAAATCACTGCAAAACAATGAGTTTTCTGTTTGTTTTTCTTTTCCTTGCAGTATTGCATCTCAAGAAACACAATTTCTTTTGAAAGCTTTTTGTATATTTACTATATTAAAAGCAAATGCTAATTTATTTAATCAGCAGTCATTTTAGGTTAAAAATATATAGGAGATTCTAGAGCACAATAGTGTTAATACTGAACATGAATTAAGACAACTGTTCTTTTGCTGCATTACATTAAGTTTCTTTATTAGCTCACACATCTACATAAACTGGATTGCTAGACATCATTAGTCATGGGGAAGAAAAAAAGAATTTTTCCTCACTACTGAAGTATTGGTTTACTCAGATATTAGAGACTTGCTCATAAGAAATGAGGAAAAAAAAAAAGCTTTTTGCTCAACTGTTGAGATTTAAACTTCCATTTTAGGTACCAATTTATTCTTGATGAAACAAAACTATTTCATATCATATGAGCTAGAGCTATTAAGCTTGTCTGAAAAGTATGCAGGGAGACTTTAAAGCTCTTTAAACAATAGAATTTCTGCTATAACTCAGCAGATTAGCATATTTCTAAAATGTATATAAAAGCAAGCATGTTCATTCTCTTTATATGTCTAAATCAAGACAATGAGCTATGTTATAGTCACTTGGATTTTCTTCCAGGCTCAGTTTGGAACTTTGTCAGACTACTTTGAAGCTTTGCGCAAAGAAAGCAATTTGGGTGAAAAGAGCAGCAATTCATTTTTCCCTGTTTTAAGTGGAGACTTTTTCACGTATGCAGACAGAGATCATCATTACTGGAGTGGATACTTTACATCACGACCATTCTATAAGCGACTAGATAGGGTTCTGGAGTCCTACCTGAGGTAAGTACAACCATGCTGTAAATGGATAGCACGTGTCTTCAAGTGTATTAAATGCATCTGAGAGATGGAAAAGTAATTTTGAAATGCTCATTTTAAATTTGCTTCGGTTATTACAGTAAGACTAACCTAAATAGCCTCCAGATGTAGTTTTTGCTACAGTGATTAATCTGTGTATGTGGCATTTGAATAGATGCACAGCAATACACTGATATTTTTTCCTCCAAATAAGTAACAGTTGTTTTAAAGTACTGTTCAAGTGATCAGTAATTCCTGATTTCATGAGAAATAGCAGGTGTGGTTTTTGTTTCTGTATGAAGTTTGGATAGCTGTCAGATCAGTCTATCGTTATGGCTATTCTGTGAACTCTTCTAGAGAAAAATACAAGGGTGTGAGAATTACCGAAGTTATTGGAAGCAATTCAGAAGTAGTCAGGAGTATTGTGTGCCAAGCAATCTTAAATTGTGAGGTACAGTTTCTGCCAAGAAGTCTTTACTTTTGTTTTGTTAAAAAAAAAAAAAAAAAACAAAACACCCTATCCTAAATGTTAGTTAATGCAAAAGTTATGGGATTCTCCCTTGCAGATGCTCTCAATAAGATGCATTGTAAATAGATTTAATTGTAATTTCAGGCTCAAAAGATATTTTGGGCAGGCGCATATGATGAGCATCCTCAGTATTTCATTTAAACTCTGAAAGATGATTCTGCAAAGGATCCTTCCTCAAAGGATGCTTGGTTTCCTTCTGGAAGGACCAATTTAAGTTTACCTGTTAGAGTGCTTCTGTATGTCAGTAAGACCCTTTTGCATTGTAGAAAAACTTGTGCAGTGGTGAGTAATCCTTAAGAAAGGATTTCTGAGCCTTATAACTGTGTTGTAATGACTGCTGCATTAGTAGAGGGAGCAAAGAAGCGAAAGTGTTTCTGATGTAGTAAATAGTGTTTCTGAGGGAGATACGAGAACCTTTCAGAAGTGAAACTATTTATCACACAGATTTTTTTCCTTCTTCCAAGAAATCAAGTCTTCACTCAAGTGGCATCAATAGAGTCTCCACAAGCTTTGGAAGTAACTTCTCTGTGGTCTATGATCAGTTTTTTAAGTAATGAATGGGACTTTTAACCTTCTTTCTGAACTCAGAGAATTAAGAGAACTGAGGGAAATCAAGAAATACAGGGGTGAAGAAATGGAAGCAGTAGAAGGAAGACTAAGAAATGCATAAGGAGAAGTGAGATTGAGGGAGTGAGAATAAAAAATAAATTGGGCAAGAGGCAACGTAACATAATCAGTAACAGTAACATAATAAAGTATTGGATTGAATAGGAAAGAGAAAAGGCATTTCACAAATGGAAAAGCAGGGAGGAATGAACCCAAGAAGTCACAGCAAATACAAGAAAAACGAGACCAAAGTTGAGGGATGATGACAAAAAGCAAGGAGAATTCTTATGCAAGAGAATGTAAATGTAATGAAGTAAGGAGAAGTCATGAGAGAAATAACTTCAGCAGTGTTTCATCTTTGGAAAATGATTGATGCATATATATGCATACCGACTGCTCCTGAAATTGATGCTCTGGTGTTTCTTTGTTTGTTTTTTGTTTTGCTGTTTTCCCTAGAAATTGTTCAATATTGTCTTGGTGTGAAATATTTCAGTATTGATTTAATATTTTCTTCTTATTGTCTGTGATCATCCAGCATGGCCTGCCTGCTCACCAGTTGGTTGGACTCTTGCTCTCTCTGATGTGAGCCTTTCATTCTGTATGTGCTGCTTTTCTGAACATCATCTTGTACACGCTCTTTGGTTTTTTAAATCTCATTGAAAATATACCTTTTTATCTGCCTACAGGCTCACTGTTTTTTAAACTGTGTAAGACTATGGATGTTACTGAAATTTAAGGAGCAATATTTGGACTTGGATAGAAAACAGTTTTCTGTAGCATATGGAGTGCTTGTAAGGAGTATGCACTGTAAAATTAGATTTATTTTTATGTTCTATGTATCCAGAGTTTTTTTTTTATGTTCATACAAGTGACACTAAATGTGCTTCCAGTCTTAATTATCTTGTCAGGAAATAATTAAATTTTATTAAACAACTTTTTGAGGAAAGGGAGTATCAACCTGAGTGACCTGACTGGAAACAGGTACTTTTTAGCAGAATGGGATGATTACCTATAGGTTTCAGGTCTGAGGTTAAAAATTTAGTAAAACAAAAAGACTCCACTTATTCCTTTCTTTATATTATAGCGTTTTTTCTTACTTTTTTTCAGAATACTAAAATGTTATTGTGTGTCTAGTTTTGAAAAATGAAACGTTGCCGGCAGTGTAGCAAAATGCTGAATTGATGCAAGTTCTTGGAAAATGGCAAACTTTTTAATTTTCTGCAGAAGTATTTTTAAATGCAATTTCTGGGACGATTAAAAGGGTGTTTATATGTTGCCAAATGTATGCAGCAAAATTCTCAGCAAATAATAAAAGATATTGTTATATTAACGGTCTTAAAATTTAGGAACCTTTTTGAAAGCAGTTGTGAGTCAGACAATTTAGATTTTGCAGAGTACTTATAAACAGCAGCTTTAGCCTTCATTACGCCTAAAGAGTTTGTTTAAAAACGCACAGCTAATGCTGCTCGGCATTTTTTAGCACTCCAGCGTGCCACGCAACCAAGCTTCTGCAAAAGATGCAGAAGAAGAGATGCCTCTTTGCTTATATGTGCTCTGTTAAAGCTTTTGCTCTGATTTTGGTATGCTAGAGTGTTTTTTATTTAAAAAAAATCTAATTTTAGCAAAATTTAATACAACATAACTTTTAAAATTAGATGTGTTGTATACAGACTGTAAAATATGTTGAGGCTAGTCATAACAAACCTTTAATAGGTGTTATTCCATAGTAACATATTGTATGTAGGTGGCAAAGCGCTGGTGATACTGTGGCTATCTGAACTGAATAATTAATTTTTAGATTAGAATATTTAAAACACTATGAAAAGAATTTTGAAATTCAGCTCTGGCAAATGGAATAAATCTTGGAGCAAATTGGCTGTGCAGCTCCAGTAGAATAGCTGTTTGGATTTGAAAAATATATGTAGTTACAACTCAAGAAGATAACACTGAGTAATACACTGTCTACTTTTAAATGTTTTATATGAAAATATGTCGGGGCTGAGGGTGGGTTGTACAAAAACCCGTTAAAACCTTTTTAAACATTTAATCATAGCTTTGGAATTTTAGAAGTGTTAGGCTTAAGTTTCATACAAAAATGTTGGAAAACCATTGATTTTTAAGTTGTTTGGGGTTTTTTGAATATGTTTAAGAGGGCATACTTACGGTTAATGCTAGTTGGAAAGTTTGACAGCTCTTCAGAAAGAGTATCAAGCTTCAGTGGAAATGTGACTTTTAGAGCCATTTTATTTTTTAGTTGTACTGATGTTAGAAATGCAAATTAGTTCTCATTAGCTCTTTTATCATGAGAGCCTTTGTTTAATTTTCAGGAAGAACAGCTGTGTTTAATACCAATATTGGAAAAGACAAGATATATGGAAAACAGGATAGATGATGTTCCTATACATTGAATTCCCTGTTTTTTTTTTTTTGATTTCTTTTTCTAAATTCCTTTCTTTTTGTTAGTGTACCAGGGATTTCATTTTATTTTATTTTTATCTTAGCTTTTATCTTAGCTTTATATTCTGAAGCCTTTTAAGTGTATCTATTTTACTGTCATTTTTACTTTTCATTAGTTCTATTTCAGTAGACATTTCAGGAAATGTCATGTGTATTACTTTCAAGTTTCTAGTATTTACTACTTTTAACTTTGCACTATTAAAATAGTCCTTTATTTAGAGTAAATACAGTCAATATCAACTTCTTGAAGAGCTATTAAACCTTCTAGTAAAGAATCTCTGACAGAAAACTAAATCTCTGATTTGTTATGATTATCAATTAAACCAAAGCATGTCACTACTAATGTGATGATTGACACTTGAATAAAAAAAGAGTCCTAGCCCAGGGCCTGCTAAGAATGCTTGTTTAAGTGAGAAAAAAGTTGTTTTTGTTTGTTTAGTTTTTGTCTTACCTTTTGTTTTAAGTTTTGAGTTTGTGCCTTATGAAAATGTAACAGTTTCATAATGAAGATTGAATAATTGCTGTTCTGAGACAGAATTAACTTCTTAATACTAATTGAGAGGAGAGGGGTGTGTTGAAATAGCTGGTGAAGGGCTGTGAAGTCAGTGGTCTGAAGTTTGTTTGAAGTGATAGTGGAAGGACGCAAAGAACATCAGCGTTGTTGGAGGCAAGTTTTGGAGGCAAGTTAGGAAATTCTTAATTTCATTCTTAATAGATGTAATCAGGGCAAAATTGCATTAAGACTGCAAAAGAAGGTTGTTGATATAATTCAGATGCAAGATTAGAGCCTTGGTAATAGTTCTAGCAGTATAAGTAGATAGAAAAGGCCACATCTTTGAATTCAGAAGCGCTTGGTAAACTTATTTAGGCTACTTACAAAGTGGACATAAAAGTAACCTAATATAGGCTTTGAGTAATCAGCGAAGCAGTTTTTAGTCTATTCATAAAGTATTTCTTCAGGTAGAGATACAGGGACAAGTTACAACAAAGTAGATCACCTGTGATAATTGATTTATGCATGCTTCCAATCTACCAAGGTTTGAAATAAAGGTGCTAAATAGCAAAGTTTTTGCAGCTTTTATGGACAGATATTAGAGGGACGTAAAAGCTTGCTTCTAAGTTGATCTGTCCTCTAACAAAGTATTTCTTGTGGCTTCACTTCTGGGTGTACATCTTTGACCGTTGAACAACTGTAATGTTTAGATCTAAATATTGAGGCTTGAAAGAACAATTCTACATCTAAGAGACTGATGTATTAGAGCTGCAAAATGGAATCTTTTTTTTTCCTGAAATGCAAAACAGTCCATGTTTTTCTAAAGAAAATGGCTTTACAGTGAAGTTGCAGAAGCAGTAGGCACACAAAATGTAGTCCTATTATACTGCTATTGTGAGATTTCTGGATAAGAGAGCGGATGGCAGATTAACTGGAGTGATGCTAGTGGAGCAAGGAGTATGGTGTTTTGGGCCAAGCTAGTGTTGATAGGAGGTGGAGGTAAGCAACAGTAGAAGTCATCTTCCATTCTGAATTGTCACTAGGGTGCAAAATCAACTCTTTGAGAATGTGGCAAAGAAATTCAAGTAATTTGATTCATATACTGTGTACTTCCTCATCTTGTTGTTCAAATACTGACAATATGAAAATGAACTGGATTATTATATGTACGGTGCACCTTTCAGTTTAGTTTGACGAAGGTTAGTCAAGGATATTTGAGATAAATGGCTTTTTCCAGTATTGCTTTAAATAAGGCCTGCCACATGCTACTGAATCTAAAGGCATTTAAACATCTTAATATCCATGTACCGTCTGAAAACTCAAATTGAGAGCAATTTTTAAAATTTTTTGTGATACCTAATTTAAATTTTAACATGTACTCACTGACAACGTAGGCAAATGTAAAAGTTAAGGTATTTTCCGTTTTTATTGTGTGCTTAGAAGTTTTACATTTGTTTCAAGGGCATATGTTATTTTACTTTCTTTGCTTTTTATAACGTTAATCTATCTTCTTGATTCTCTCAAACTTCAAGAGAGCTTCATTAAGCTAAAATAAAGTTTGAAAGGAACCTGACACTTTTTAAATTTGTTTAAAAAAAAAAAAAAAAAAGCCAAATGTTTTAGGAAGAAGAATTAGAAGAAAGTTGACAGATGGTTTCTAAGAGTTTCTACAGGCATCTTTTTGTTAGTTAGGTATTTCAGGATGATTGGCAATTATAGCGTTTTCGAAAAATAAATTTAAATTCTCATAAAGCCACTGAAAATCTAAAGGAAATATTTTAATGCTGGAAGCATTTGCGTAAAAAAATAGGAGAGGAGGGTTCTGTGTTATGTTCAGTCTAAGGGTTTTTGAATACAGTGTTTGCATCTTTCAGCCCAGTGTTTTAGCAAGCAGGTGAATGAGCTGCCTATGTCTTTGGGGGAATTTATTTTGCCTGAAGTACAAAAGATAAACTAGATATATGGAATCTACAGATAATATATTTCTTGGAGATAATGTTGGTGGTCTAATAAGCTGCTTTTTGAAATGTGAATTGTACATCTCTAAGACTGTTTATCCTTAATGCATCATTTTAAGGTCTGATCTCTGTACCTCACACATTTGTGAAAACGGTATATTATTTTTGTACTGATATATTTTTAGGTTTTAGCTGTATTTCCCATCACTGAAGTCTTGCAGGAAGCTAGTGAGGTTATTTATGATGATGAGGTGCAATAGGAGTTTTAATATTTTAAAGGTAGCAGTAGGCTAAAAGGTACAAGATTGAAGTTTACAGAACTCAAGGAACTAGGTGGGAGGAAAAATGTGAAAACTTCAGTTTATTCTTCAGGTAAAATGTGTGTTGCTTTTTGCTTTCTAAAGAAATAGAAATATTTGATTTTTCTCTACAATTCCAGGGCAGCTGAGATCCTTTACTCCTTGGCTTTGGTACAGTCCAGTAAATCTGACAAGATGAGTGTATTTCCTTCAGTAGATCACTATAAATTGCTGACAGAGGCTAGGAGGAACCTTGGACTCTTTCAGCATCATGATGCCATTACAGGAACATCTAAGGATTGGGTAGTTGTGGATTATGGCACAAGGTAATTTATCATAAATATATAAACTTAAATCTTGTTTTTCCTTCTGAAAAAAAAAAAAGTATTTACTTCCAACACAGGTATGTATTTGCTACATCTAGCAACATGCTCTGTACTAACAACATAGCATCACTTACTGTAATGACTGTGGTGCATTTCATGCAAGTATCTCATGGTGTTTTTACTAGGACAGTGAATTTGATTCGCTCTGCTGCTATGATTTAGGAAATATTTTCCTACTCCTATAGATTAAGAATTTGAAACCCAAACTAAATTTCTCTGAGGTTTCAAAAGAAGTTATTCTTTAATTACAGGGCTGTTACTTGATGTAGTAACTGTTGTATAGGAGACAATTGTGAATCTGCCTGTGCTAAGCAATGATCATGAAACATTGTCATTTAAACGTGTATAGTTTGAGAAATCCTATACCCTCTATAACCTTCTCACCTTATACCTCGGAAATCTTTTTTCATGCTGAATATTTCATGTGAATATTACATTTTATTTGTATGTTTTTCTTCATTTGTGTTATATCTTTCAGGTGAGTTGCTTTCTCAGTATTGAGTATTGGCAAAATTTTTGAAAAGATCTGTCCTTGATAAATGGCTGTGTAGCTATATACCTTTACAGTAGTCATGCTTTTGTTTAGAACGTTCTTACATATTGGAATATTAAGCATTACTAGACTTGATGAATTGATGTCATAATGGTAGAGCATGTCCATTAAATAAGTCATTATCTAAAATGTCTTTAATATGCTCTATTTTTCTGTTTTAAACTACTGTATTCATTCATGGAGAGTATTTTTAAATTCTGTAAATGTGTTGATTTTTTTTATCTGTTAAAGCACAGAGTCAGAGTAAAAATGCATGCAGTGCACTTTCCTGGTTAGAGGAGAATAAAATAGTGTCTTTTTATTTTACTGAAACAAAATGAAATTATGCAGCTTTGTATTTTTACAAATTCAAAAACCTCATATCAGTTAAATCAATGGAAGTGCTGATTATCACTTAAATGTATTGTTTTTGTGTTTGCGATGGCTTCTCTGATCCTGATAATAGGCAGTCTTGACTCTGATCGAATTTTCAGGCTTGCTGACTCCAATATAGAAATTGGAAATCAAACATATGAAAGACAGAAACGTTCCTAAGATTAACATTTTGAAAAAATTAGTTGGTTTTCTGGGGGCATACATTTCAAAGCATAACAGTTAATTGGAGATATGTCTCATTTTCAGGATGCGAGCAAGGAATATAATGAAAAATCAGAATATTTCCACATTTTGCAATCTGGGCAGCAATTATAAATAGCTGTTCTTAAGCTAGTGCTTCGTTAGTATTAAAAATTACATTTCTCTTTCTGTAACTCTTGTTTTTGATATTTCTATATTTTTTTAAGGTTTATTGTCACTCTGAATAAACACAACTCCTGAAAACTAATGCTTAACAATTTTAACAGGCTTTTCCATTCTCTAATGAACTTGAAGAAAGTGATAACTGACTCTGCTCATATTCTTATCCTAAAGCACAAAGATGCTTACAATTACGATGCATCAACTCCGTTCCTTAAGATGGTGAGTTATTTTTCTTTATTTTTTCCAAAAGTAAAATTTGAATAACAATGTTTTTTCAATACGATTTGAATGACCTAGGATTTTCAGTCAGACTGAAATTTGCCACTAATATGCGCTTAAAAATATGCTACTTATCAGTGTTCATCTTAATTGAAGATGTTGGAAAGTAAAAATTGAAAACTTCTGTAATCAGTGCTGAAGAACCCACACAGCTAAAGGAAATGGGCTCCTCCTGTTCCAGTTTATGAATCATATAGTAAAACCAGGTGTTTTAATTTTCATGTGTGTAAATTTGTTGATGATTTCAGCAACAAGTGTGATGTATATGTGAATATATCACTGTATATAGTCCTGCAATTTTACTTGGCTTGTTGCTTAAGAAATATAGGAAGAAGAAAATTTCCATCTTGACTGTGTATGAGCCCAGGCTGGATTTGCAGGACCAAGTTTAGATAGGACCTTGACCTTTTTTCCTTAACTGAGATTATTTGAAATGGGAGTCTACAGAGAATAAAATCAGCAACGGATCATTTTGAGATCTGTTTTACAGAAGAGAAAACATTAAAGAAGTATACTTGCTAATATTGTTTCCTGTCAAAATTCTTAATTTTTTCACTTTACCATCAAAAGCAGTCTATTATGATAGCTAGGTAATCTTAGAAAGTCCTTCACCTGGAGTAGATAGGAAATGAGATGCTTTAATGCTTTTATGCACAAACATAGTAGGATTAAGACAGTCATTGGTATATGATTATGTGGTGCTTCTAACATAACTGAAGATAGTATACTGATGTATATTCTCCTGGCTTAGATATGCCTGTGTAATATCTTAAATTAGTCTTTCAGTCCTGTATACACTTTAAACAAAAAAAAAAAACAGTCAAAATAGTCCTGTATGCATTCTCTGACTTGGATATGATATTTATTCATTCATTCATCCTGGTTTATATATATTTTTTTCTCCTGATTGGAAAAAGGTTAACAAAATGAATGTGCACCTTCATAAAACAGAATATCATGGAACAAAGTAAAATTTTCAGTTTAAATATATACTCTAAATTATATTGAAGGGTGTTTTGATGTTGCATTTTACTAAACTTTCATCATTCCTGTGTTATATGAGGCTGTAGATTACTACTAGACTGTGAGGCAGTAATTGTTGTTTAAACTGTGTACCACCTAGGGGCATACTAGTGGGCAAGAACACCATTTAATTACCGTTTTGAAAGCACAGATCACAAAGATGATGCTTATCTCAGTGAATTTATAATCTCTGTATGGATGGAAGGAAACAGCTGGTTATCTGTTTGCACAGTAACTGCAAAATACCAGAAAACTAATATTCCTGTACTTTTGTAGATACCATGACAAAAGGTTTTTGGAGGGGAGATTTGAAGAATGTTAATGGGAGAACATTCAGGATAGTTACAAAGAGCTTTTTACAAACCTTGAGCAAGTAGATAGTCCAAAGATGCTTGTTTCAAAATACTGTCAAATGTAGCTGAAGGAAGCTGATGCCATGGATTGATCAGAGATGGGCGTTCAGAATGGATGCAAAGAGAGAGTCAGGGAGGACAAATGATAATGACTGCAAGGTTGGGAGCAAGTATTGCCTATGACAGGAGAAGGAGGCAAAGAGACATAGTTGAAGGAACAGGCTGGTAGTCTGTAGCAGCATTCCAGTAGATATATCCGGGGAGAAATAGCACTTCTTGATGCCAGAGGAAAAGAAGTTGCAAATGAGACATGAGGGAGGGATCTCAGAAGAACGTTTCTTGCCCTGTTTTCAGCTATTCTTAATTGTTAGTTATATAGGAAAGCATTACGACTTTCTCAACTAATATTTAGGTGCCTAGTAGAATACTAGGTACATCATAGAATTTTTGCAGATTTAAACAAGTAAACAAACGAAACCTATATTGCTTGGAAGAGAATATACTGAAATATACTGGACTGGGAGGAACGTGCTGTTAGGCTATTTTAATTAATATACCCACCATGCCCAGTGCATATACCAAATCTTTGTTAGCTTTGCAGTCATTCAGTCAGGCTGGGAAACGTTTTTTATTGCTCCTTGGAGTGGATTGAATCTCAGTTTTGCTGAGGTGCTGTTTCTTGCTCTTTGCAGCCTTTCCTAAGGCTTTTCTATCTTTTCATGTCAGTGTTTCTTTTCTGTAATCTTTTATTTTACTTCTTTGTTTTAAACTTTAATAGTGATTATCAACCTAGGAATCCCACCTCTGTATTCCCATGTTCCTGCTTTATCATACATAGTTTAGTAGTCTACATGTTATCTTACTTAGAGACTAAGGTAACAGTGACAGCAATGGTTCGTTGTTATCTCAGTAGAACTGAGCACTGGGTCACAGTGTACTTAGGAGTACTAAATACTAAATATTTCTCAGTACTGTGACATAATTCTTAAGTTAGCTTATACCACATTAAAAAACATACAAACGCTGCAAATAGTTTTTATGTACTGTAGAAGGTAACAATGAGATCTGACAAAGACTAAACTGTAAGACCTGTGACAAAAATATAGGGTAGTATAGGGTTTCAGTGAATAAATCTCTCGCAAAAGTAGAGGCATTATGAGCATAAGAAAGCTATTTGCAAAATTTAAACGGAGTTTGTAATTATAATGTCTAGTTTACAGCAACAAAAATGTGGGCTGACAATTTGTGAATGGTTTGTAGTATTAAATGATACTAATGAAAGCAAACATTTCCCGTTCAATTAGTAAAAATAAGCTTTTTTCTTTTTTCAATCTGAAATCTTAGCTTTGTCTCAGTGATTTTTGTCTAATATACACAAATTTTTTTTGAAGAGGGTGAGATTGACATCTTCCTGTGTAATGTGGGAAAACAGACTTCTGTTTATAATGTGAAGAGCATGGATTTGTATTTCCTAAAGCTCGTGTGTATTCACTGTACATTGATCTGTGTATTCAAAAGCAAATTCAAAGATGTTCTATTGTAGGATGATGTTCAGTCCTCACAAGATTCTCTGCCACGCAAGACGGTTATAAAGCTGACTTCGCAACCGAGGTAAACGAATTACGTATTACTGAACATCTGAGATAGTGTGTTCTTTTCATTACTTAATACTTGTTATACCATCTTATTATTTTCTAACTTTTCACTCAAAATGATGATGCAATGTAATTTAGCGTATTATGCTAAAACTACTGTGCCTAGTTTGAAATAGGGCACTAAACTTTCAAACTGTAAAGTTTCTCACATACTGCTAATTCAGCTGCGGCAAGTATAACAGTCTTTTTGTTGTGTGCCTTTGCAGTATTGTAGTACATAATAAATTATGCCTGAAAACAACAATAGAAAACTTCAATTGGACATAATTACAGCTGACTGAATTAGTATTGTGAAGGAAACCTTATTTTTTGTAAGTCCTAAAGTCATGAAAATACTGAATTGTCTTTTAAATTTAAGTAGAAGATCAAATAGGAGGTTATTTGCTGTTAACTCTATCTTTCTAATGTATTAAGAATGCTTATTTCTTTATTAATACGTAGTTCGAGAGCTTTCAGTCACAGGTGACTGAAATGCTCTCTAGGAACATTCACTATCCAGCCTGAAATAAGTTAAACATTCATTAAAAACCACCTCAGCAAGTTGGTGGTAACATCCAAATAAAGTAGAAAAGATGTATGGATATGAGAGCTGTTGTGTATAATGTAAATCAAGTAATATAAGCTTGTGGCTTTCTGTTCTTTCAGAGGAAAAGATTTAAGATTTATTTTAAAAAGTGAACATTATTTTGCTGAGGTTTGTATTTAATTTTTATGGTTCTATCAAGTGGTAAGGCAATAAAACTTGCTGGCCTAACTCATGAAGCTTACAGAATGCCTGCTGCTCTTCAACAGTATTAATCAGATTCTTTGGAAAAATGAGCCAAGTTTGGTCCTTATGAACTGTTGAGATGCTATCTTCAGCTCATGGTAGCTTCACTAGGAGAAGATTGTATAAACTGTTGATAACTGGAAACAAGTTAGTGTAGACTCCCTTTCTGCCATTTCAGGGTAGCTTGAGTGCTTCTGCTTTCTCTGTCTGGTTTTGACTGTTGAAAGGGCTTTGTCCCCCGCAACCCCTAATATGTCTTTTATTTGCATCCACTGTGCCCGTTATCTCTCTACGTAGTATACTAAGTAAGTTTTCCTCCTTTAATGTATTTCAAGCATTTGCTCGCTTTACCTTGTAATTGTACATGAAGGAGATATACATGTTCTACTTTTTAATTTTAAAATTAATATGATCCTGGGAGCCTTTTTTGCTGCTGTTCTACCAACTTGTTTTAACTTGCTAACGACAATGTTGGTAAATAATTGCTAACTGGCTTTTGTGTGGCATTCTGAAGATACCATACAATCACGTAATATATAGTTCCTGTTTCAAAGAGTGTATAATGAGACCTGCAGGAGATAAAATGAAAAGGAAAAATCTTAGAGGAGGAGGAAACGAAGGAGAAATGTAGGAAGGGAGTATTGTTATAGAGCTATCTAAAAGCTTGTTTTTGTAATGAGCTTGTATATTAAAGTAAAAAAAACTTTCAAAGCAATGTTTGTGTGCACTACTACATGATTCCTTTGTTGTTAGGATTTTCATTTCAATATGTATGTTTCAATGTATGTTGAACTATCTGTTTCCGTTTAAAGATGAACCTAGTTTTTCTAGGTCTCTTACTATCTCTTCGATTGTATTCTGAATCTCAGCTAACATTATTACCTTTGTAAAGGTGATCTGTTAACTGAGACTGCAACTTTTGATTAAAACTACTGTGTGAATATTATGAGTATGCATCTGAACTTTCTAAGTAGCCAGTAAAGATGTGAAATGTTAATTTCAGTAGAATCTTGAACACAATTTGATAAGTTGTCGTTAATGATTACTGTGTTTAACCTTCCGAGTTTTCAATTTCTAAGACAGAAATTGTTTTTTTCCAAGTAGATTTAAGCATCAGTAGGTTTAAAAAACGCTGTCTGAGTCTCACCAAAACTTTTAACCTTTGGTTATCATTTATTCATAAGTATTCTTTATTGTTCATGTCCATAGCATGAAATTCTAGATTTCTTTCTGTAAATGTGTTCTAATGTATGATTATGGGGGATAGAAGTTAAGCCAATGCCACTGTGACAACATTGTTGCTTTTGTTTAATCAGCTGAATATTTTTTGTGTAGTTTTGCATCTCATGTGAAGATTTAGGGGAAAAAAAGTAATATTGTAAGTTGGTCATTCCTGTAGAATATTGCTTCATATCACCTACAAATTTAGAATTGCAGACTACTGATGCGAAGCTCATAAGAGTATTTTCTTTTGAATCTAATTAATCATTTTCCTTTTTTTTTTTGAAAGTCAACCAGATCTAATAATCCTTTCAACAGAAGAGTAATTTGCAACGTGCTTTTGTCTCTATGTGGTTCCATTGTGATATTCTTATTTTTAGTAAAGTGTTCTTTTTACTGCTTTGAAAGTTGTGGTCGGTAGTGAAAGCTGATTGTGCTGTACAGGAGAGCTAATACAACTCGATTACATGCAGAATAAGAAGAGAGAAAAAAAACTTGTTTCTGAGTAATCATTCTTCTAGTACAAAGTATCTCCAAGATTGTTGTGTAGCTGAGAAGTATAAATAGGTATCGCTTCTAAAATATTTGGTATCGCTTTGCTCCCTCCTATGATCTCATTTGTCTTTAGTGCTCTGTTGCCATCTTTTTCTGAAGCTGTAATCTTATAAAAAGGTAGTGTGTTCGTTTTAATGGAATTAATATGTGGAGTTTTGAAGGTCATATTGTGACTCTGCCACCTTACAACTAAATAGTCTTACCAGGCTTCTGAGTGCTGAAGTTTTGGCCTATTTAATTACACTAAAGCCCTTTTAACTCCTTAATGAAGTGGGGGGAAAAAAGCCCCCCACCAAACAAACCTCACAACACTCTTTAAATACAAGATATTAGTAAGACTTCATTTGAACAGTATTCTTTTGTTACCTTTAGCTATATAATTCGTTGTGTAATTAAGCCTTCCAGACTAGTGGTCTGTGAAGTATGTTACTTGAAGGAGAATGAAGTTGAAAAAGGCTGAAATTATTTGCTGTTAATCCAGTATTATTTCCTTTAAATAAAGGGATCTTGAGGAAGAGAAATGTACAATGTATAAAGTGGAAAGCATCTAATTTTTACCTGAGACACTGCTGCTAAGAAAAAACACTGGGACTTGGTAGTACTTGAATATTTCTAGGTTTGGCAGACTGGCAATTTTTTGGATTGCTTTTCTGCTGCCTTAAAGAATATGATCTCATAGCGGTAAAAATCTCTACTTCCAATAAGCATATTTATCAAACAGTGGAAGAAGCTTGATGGAGAGAAAGACTTAAAAATGAAAGTGGGAAAGGGAGCACAAAGGATGAACGAGAAGTGAGTCATATATTGCAGTTACTGTACATACTGAGCTTAAGCTATAGCTAAGAATCTTTTCTCTGACTAGTTCTGATGAGGATTCCTTTCAAAATCAGGAGGATGAAGGCTTGAAAATTTTGTGATGTATTCTGAAAGGTTTGAGGACAGCAACTTTGAGAAGTATTTCCTAATCACCTCAATATTATTTCTAGCTCACCTTACTTTCCATTCTCATCCTTGTTTTTTGGGTTCCATAAAAGGACGTGTTTAACATAGTTTTTTGTCTTGCTATTTTGTTCTCATGAGACACTCCAAATTTTGTCCATTCATTTCTCATTTGTTCTGCTTTGGTCTGCAACGTGTAATTTCAGCACAGTTCAGCTAATCCAGTATATTGTTTTCAGCTTTGCTAATTTTTCATGGATTTTTTTTCCACTAGTTTTCCACTGGAGTTATGTTATTTCAGACAGTTTGAAGAGCTGTGTACAATAGATGGCATTTGTTGTTGTTAGGTGTTTTTTCGTGTAAGGCTATCAAAAGGCTGCTGTCTTTAAGATTTTTGCCCAGCTGTGTGATCATGAGGAATTCACAAAGTGACTTCTGGCTTTTGTTGTTCCTTTTCCATCTTTTCCTGAGGGACCAGGTACCATGATGCGAGATCTAGCTGAGGTTCTCAATTCAAATCAAGTTGTAACACTTGGTTTCCTCGAACATACAGAGGCCAGCTCTGTAAAGGAGGTTCTATTGTTTTTTGTCCTTCAAGGAATCCTTCACTTTGTGAATGTTATTTTTAATAAGCAGCTAGAACTGAAGCCATTTATGGTAAAACATCGCTCTATGTTGGAGACTTGACCTGGTTATTTAGTGCATAAAGGAAAATAATTTGTATAATTTTAGTTTTTCCTTTTTTTTTTTATGATCACTTTGAGCTAAAACCTTGAGCTTTCACAAGTAAATATCCAGCTAGATATGGAACTACTTTTGCACTGTTCTGAAATTGTTCCAGAATTAACAAGATCTGGTAGCAAGGGTATGTGCAAGTGTCACCTTTTATTACAGTGTATCTTGGTAACAGAGGCCATGAGTGGGCTGATGAAATTGGATACAGCACCATAATTCTGTGAGAGCGCTCTGTCCCTTGGTATAATCCTTGCTCCTTGGGGATAGTCCGCCAGAGATGCTGCTTCTCAAATGGCAAGAGACCTGCAATCACTGGACTTTAAGGACCTTTGAACCTCTCGCCATCCAGTTTAACCTGACAGCTGTTGACTAAGGATATGTTGCCAGTGTGAGTGGCAAGATTTCCCAGCTTTTTCTTTCTACAATGTTTGCTGGAGACAGCACTGGAGAGGAGTGAGGTACACAACCAAATACCTTATCTTACTGCATGTACACCAGCTTGGATTTTGTAGTAGCATTGTTGGGCACAATATGGTGAACCCAGGAGTGAATGAGACCTAACAGCTGACATTATACATCCGTGTTTTTTGGGTTTTTTTGCTTCTGAACTCTCCTGCAGCTGGCTGAGGGTTTTCATGTGCTCCAATGCACAGTCAAGCATAGTGTAAGGCATCCCGTTTGATCTGAAGTTACTAAGATATTCGAAGAGGAGTAGAGACCATTTCTAAAAATCATTG